GAAGGCAGAGAAAGGTAGAGTTTAGACAGAGAGGCTTTAGACAGAGAGTCTTTAGGCAACTTTAGGGCAGCAACAATGGCTTGGTGATGCTGGGTTAAGAAAGAGGAGAAGCAGTGCCAAATGAGACTGAAATTGCACTGGGGACCAATAATAGAATTAAGACTTTAGCTAAATTTAAAGAATGCAATTCAGTTTCTTTCAGTCTACTCAATTCATACTAATCAAGTGCATACTTTTAAAATAAAGGTAAAATTCTTCAGAAAACCCAAAATTCTACTGCCATCAAGTTGATTCCTACTCATAACAACCCTGTAGGGCAAAGTGGAAGTGCCTCACAGGGTTTCCAAGGTTCTAAGTGTTTACAGAAGCAGACTGCGACATCTTTCTCCTGCAGAACAGCTGGTGGGTTCGAACTGCTAACCTTTGGGTTGGTAGCCAAACGCTTAACCACTGCACCACCAGGGCTCCTAAATTCTTCAGAAGAAGAGACAAAAAAGAGAAAATGAAGACATTGTTCCACAGGGCCCTCCCTCCTTCATTTTGGAATAGTCACAATGTAATCCTGTCCATTTTGCCATTCCTACATCAATAAGTTTGCAGAAGCCACAGTATGGCACAGTGGAACATACATCATTTCTTCCTCTCTATGCAGAGATAAAGGTCCATTTATGTGCCTCAAACACACCAACGGACAGGTATTTTCATTCTAATATTCATAGTGAAAGGGCCTGGGTCCCTGACACCATGGGACTTCCATACCAGCCCTCACTGCTTATAACCGGACTGTTACATAAGAATATATCATTTCCTTTCAAGCCACTGTTTGTTTCTATCCTTATTACAGAACACAAGTCCACATTTCAGCAAAATGGCTTATCTTTATTTTACAGATGTTGTTGTTGTTATGTGCCGTCAAGTCGGCCCCCACTCACAGCGACCCCTCCTTGGGTTGCTGAGGCAGTATCACTACGGAAGTAGATTGCCCAACCTTCCTTCCAAGGAGTGGCTGGTGGGTTTGAACCACGAGCCTTCTGGTTAGCAGTCAAGTACCTTAGACACTATGCTACCAGAGCTCCTAGGGACATTGATATCCAGAGAGCTAAGTAACTTACCCGAGGCCCAACATCACACATCTTCCACAGAAGAGTCAGTGTCAGGATTTGAACTCAGAAGTGTGATTCAGAGTTTCTATATCTCTATATTACTATACACTTTACTATTTTTAAGGAGCCCTGGTGGCACAGTGGTTAAACACTGTGGTTCGAACCCACCAGCCACCTCTGTGGGAGAAAAAGGTGGCAACATGTTTCCATAAAGATTACAGCCTTGGAAACTCTGTGGGGCAATTCTACCCTGTCCTATTGGGTTGCTATTGATTAGAATTGACTCAAAAGCACACAACAACAATATAGTGTCTCTAAAGAAATCTTGAAAGGAAGAAAGAGTCCACAGAAATTGGTAAGTGGAGAGCTAAAATTTAGCAGATAAACAGGTACTATTCAATCCAGTGTGAAACGTTGTTGTTGTTAGGTGCCATCATATACAAATATTTCATAAATACATATATGAAATATAGTATGAATTGATGCTATGCAAATGAAGCGTTCATATTAAATGTTACCTGGACATTTTAAAAATTCAGATATTTAAGTTTTTAACAGGAAAATATTCCAATTTACTGGTTCCAAGACAAAAAATGTTAAAAGTCTGAAATTCTCTTAAAGATTCTAGATTTCATTTCTATGGCCATAGTCTTTAGATTAAAATTCTCAGAACAGACAATATTAAGATGAGAGAGCAGCTAGAATGCCCAAGAGAGTGCCACCATCATATTCCTGGGCATGACTCATAGTACCCTTCTGCTCAGTAGGATCTTATACAGAACAACAGACTACTTGAAAGTTAATTGATATAAAGTAAAGGAATTAAAACCAACATACAGAACCACAAAGTAAATGAAAGCTAAAGCAATATATGAACACAACTCTCAGAATGGGGCATATTTATTTTAAAGAAATAAAGCTCATTGTCAGTGTAGAGTTTCTCTTTCCTTCTTTATATATATCCACATTTAATGAAAATAAGATATGGAATGAAACGAAATAAAGTCTATCATGGGATTAATTTAATGTGAATTTCACAGAGAACAGAGATGCAATTGACCTCAGTGAAATTTAAATAGCTTTTTAGGCCTTTTGGAAATACATTTATCCATTTATCCATAAATCATTCACTCATTTTACAAATATTAAAGAATAGCTATGCAGTAGATGCTTATTATTTTTGATTATTTAGTATAAACTTTCTCTTCTTGAAAGCACCGATACTTATTTTCCACTGATTACACGTTATGGGACAAGATTATAATCAAGGACACCATGATCCCCTGGCTACAAGGTAAGAATGTGACCCAGCTCATGTCAGTAAGATTCTCCCTTCCTGAAATTTTAATTTTAGGCAAAGACACCATGACGCTGATGGAGAACATCCATTTCAGGGTTAGTGTTCTTAGGAGACTGTTCCTGTGTAGCATTTTCCCTCTAGTTCTTAATCCTGGCTGCTGGCTTAGTGGCTACCCATTTTCAAGCTTGTTAGTTAAACACAAGAGCACTGGCTTACAGTCAGAGGGGAAAGATTTCATAGAAATGAATTCTAACCGTTCCCTTTTGCGTAAGTTACCCTGAATGGGTTTTCTGATGCTTGCAAACACAATGGTTACTATTTAAAGATAAAGTGGATAATACTAAACCGGTAGCAATATCTAAAGATTTGTTGTTGTTGTTATGTGCCATCAAGTCAGACCTGACTCATAGCGACCCCCTCCTTGGGTTTCCGAGGCAGTATCTCTATGGAAGTATATTGCCCAACCTTCCTTCTGAATCTAAAGATTTAGCAAGAGTAAAAATAACACATTCAAAAGCAAACAAAAGACCATGATAATAAAATCAAAATATGGAATATTTTGAATCGCACTATAGCTCTGGTGGTATAGTGCCTAAGGCATTTGACTGCTAACTAGTGGTTGAAACCCACCAGCCACTCCTTGGAAGGAAGACTGGGCAATCTACTTCCATTGAGATACCACCTCAGAAACCCAAGGAGGGGGTCACTATGAGTCGAATCGGTGCAACGGCAGTGAGTTGATAATTAAAATGACATGCCAAATGAGAAGTACATGTTAAAGTAGTCTTTATGATCCCAGAAATTCTTCAGATCTATATCACTCACTATTGAATGTATTCATTAATTTATTCTTACCTCTATATTTATATATTCAGACTGAAACATATGAAATAGCCAATCTTTGACTGTTTTTGACTGACAAAATACCAATTTCATATAGATCAGCCTAGTAATAGCCATTATTTACATATTATTTTATTTCTGTTTCATAAATGCTCATGAAATAAAACACAATCAAATAAATTGACCATATTTTAAAACAATTCTTGAAACTACATACACATATAAAGTATACATATATATAGTGTGAATTAAAGAGCAACTTTCAGAAATACCATGCCTTAATTTACAAATTATAATCAGCATATTAACTGTACTTAATAATAATCCCCTGTACTTGATAAAACTCCCTAGTAGTTGATTATGGAATAAACATCAAGAATTCACAAGGCCTACTGACAGCACTATAAATTTTGATTTTCACATTTAATTTGATAGAAACTGGCTAACTAATAGCACCATGTGTAACAATTATGTCACCAGCTGCAAAAGAACAAATTTCTGAAAAGGGAAAGGATTGACTGATTAAGTAAAATCTTATAAAGTAAAAAGAAATTGACCTTATGGGGAGGCAGATAGCAAAATGAGACTCAAATGCTATTTCAGAACCATACTTGGTGACAAGGTCATTCGATCCTAGTTTTCTTCTCCTTTCTTTTCACATTATCCAGAGGTTTGGAGGCAACTTTGCTTATGTCCTTACTAAGTCTCAATCCAGCGAAATCATAAATATAAAATCACTGCTCCCTAAGAAATAATAACCACGTATAAATTTGAAAAATAAATAATAAATTGCTTTCTGAAAAAAATTTCTCTACAATGACAAATAAATTCTCTCTGTATGAAAATTGATTCAGTATTATAAAATAATAAGATCTGACTTGCTAATTAAGACATAGCATACAAGATGTCAACAGCCTTTACCAATATCCTCCTAAAAATGTACCTCTGTTGCTCTTTGCAAGAAAACAATTTCATTTTTTTTCTTTTTGCCTTTATCCAAATGAAAAAAAAAAAAATGGCTTTGCATTTTAATTTCTTAATCACAATTTTGGTTCCCATAGCATAATTATGGCTCCTATAGCATAATTATGGCTCCCTTACCATAATTTACTCATCCTGCCAGTTCCAAACCCCTGCCCCTCTTAAGCGTCTCTTTCAAATAGGGCTAAGCAATTGCCTCAAACAGAAATAGATACTTAAAGAGCAACTAGAAGAACAAACACAGAAAATAAGGCAGTGCAAGTAACTATTTATATTATAAAAACTCTCCTTATCTACAGGAAGCCATAAAAAGACCATTCTTCTTTTTTTTCCCACACTCACAACAAGACATTCACCAATTTAACAACTTCCTCATTTACATCTCAGAGACATCAATGACACTGTTCCTGCTGTGCCACCATTATTGCTATCGTTTCCAAAATATTCCACCATTCAATATTCCATAAACTCAATGGCCTGCAAACAAGAGACTATTCTTTTATGCAAAATTGCTATATATCCAACAAGATTACTGAACCTTTTTTAGGGCAAGAATAATAATAATGTTTAACTTTTAACTGGTTAAAAAAAAAAACAAACAAAACTATGGGCTTCAGTTTGGCCTAGACAGATACGATGATCTGAGATCGGTTTTTAAAACATGCAAATCAATAGACCCCATATTTCTTTTGCTAAGAGACTTAAACTGAATTGAAACTCTATCACAGAAATCCCATTCCCTAGGGTAACAGATGGCCAAGGCAGAAACTCACAATTCTGGATGTCACCTTGAAGCTGTAGAATCTGAGGAACTGGCATAGTGAGGACAAGAAGATCAAACTGCTCAGAGGAGCCTTTTTCCCTGGATACTTCCCACTTCTCGTTGCTCAGGTTGATCTGGGTCACACGGTGTCTGAAGTAGACTTCTGCACCTGCTCCGGAAGCAAAATCATGTTCACATAATCAGGATTTTCCATATCAATAAGAGAGAAATGAATAGTCACAAACTGGATCCACCCACACGACTAAAAGCTAAAGTTTGTCTTCTACAAGCCCTGAGTTTCTCTTTACCTTCTTTCTCATTTAGTGAAAATTCTTTCCCCTCTAGCACCCTTGGTTCCCCCATCAATGCCTATTCTGGGGAAAAAAATACTACTAATGCAATTATTAGTAAAAAAATAATAAGTAGCTATATTTTATTAAGCACCTACTATATTCTAAGTGGGAGCTCTGGTAGCATAGTGCCTAAGGCACTTGACTACTAACCAGAGGCTGGTGGTTCAAACCTACCAGCCACTCCTCAGAAGGAAGGTTGGGCAATCTACTTCTGCAGTGTTACTGCCTCGGAAACACAAGGAGGGGTCACTATGAGTTGGGTCTGTACATAACAACAGCACATAACAACAACAACAACATATTCTAAGCACTACAGACCAGGAAACTAAAGTCCAGATATGGTATGCCATGATTCAAGACTATATTCATCTGACTCAAAAGCTTATCATCTTTCAGAGATAGTACAAATTTCAGTAAAGCTGTTAAAAAGTACTTTACTTTTTAGCAATATAAGATGAGTATTCCCTGTTTTCCCTGTTACAAGCACTCATCTATCAGTTGGTCATACTGTGGTGGCTTTCCTACTGCTGTGATGCTGGAAGTTATGCTACTGGAATTTCAAATACCAGCAAGGTCACCCATGGTAGACAGGTTTCAGTGGAACTTCCAGACTATGACAGACTAGGAAGAAGGATGTGGCTAGGTCCCCTTCTACGGGGGAAAAAAAAAAGCTACTGAAAACCTTATGAATAGCAGTGAAACACTGTCTGATATAGTGCCAGAAGATGAGCCCCAGAGGATGAGGTGAGAAGGTACTCAAAATATGACAGGAAGAGCTGCCTCCTCAAATGAGATGTTAAGTCAATGATGTGGATAGAGTAAAGCATTAGGGACCTTCATTTGCTAATGTGGCATGAGTCACCATGGGAAGAAACAGTTGCAAACATCCATTAATAATTAGAACAGGGAATGTATGGGATATGAATCTAGGAAAACTGGAAGGTGTAAAAACTGAAATGGAATCCATAAAGATCATTGTCCTAGGCATTGTTGTTGTTGTTGTTATGTGCCGTTGAGTTGACCCCGACGTATAGCCACCCCTCCTTGGGTTTCCGAGGCAGTATCACTACGGAAGTAGGATTGCCCAACCTTCCTTCCGAGGAGTGGCTGGTGGGTTTGAACCGCCAGCCTTCTGGTTAGCAGTCAAGTGCTAGCTGAAATGGACAGGTACTGGCCATTCTGAATTGGACAATCATATGGTCTATTATGACAGGAATGAAAAAGAGAAATGGTGTCCCATTCATCATCCAAAAGAACATACCAAAATCTGTCCTGAAGTATAATGCTGTCAGGGATAGGATAATATCCATATGCCTGCAAGGAAGACCATTAATGTGACTATTATTCACATTTATGCACCAACCACTAAAGTCAAACATGAAGAAAGTGAAGATTTTTACCAATTTCTGCAGTCAGAAATTGACCAAACATATAAATCAAGATGGATTGTAAATTACTTGTGATTGGAATGCAAGAGCTGGAAACAAAAAGAAGTACTGATAATTGGAAAATAGGGCCTTTGTGATAGAAATGACACTGGAGATCACATCATAGAATTTTGCATGACCAACAACTTATTCATTGCAAATGCTTTTTTCTTTTTTTTTTTTTTTTTTGTGATTTGGGTGAAAATTTACAGAGCAAATTCACTTTCCATGCAGCAGTTCACATACACTTTGTCTCATGGCATTGACCAAAATTGAACTCGATGCAACAGATCCCCTCCCACTTCCTCCCAATAGTTACCTCTTCCCTGTGTCCACCCCTCCATGCACTCCTGCCCCCTGAGCTGTCTCCCATACAAAAATAGCCCTTCTTCCTCCCATGATTGTTCACTCCAAGGAGTGTATCTACCTCAGGTAAATGTTAAACTCATATGCCTGTCTTTTCTTTAGCTGGAAGCCACAGGGTTCAATTCCAGCCTGAAGGGCAGCTAGGGGCCATAGTCTCAGTGGTTCCACCAGGCTCTATCAGACCAGCAAACCTGGTCCCCCCCCTTTTTTTTCCAAATGATTTTGAGTTTTGTTCCACATTGTTCTCCCTCTTTATCCAGGATCTACTACATAGATCCCCTTCAGAGTGGTTGACACTGTAGCCAGGCACCATCAAGTTCTTCTGGTTCCACAATCATATAGGCTGAAGACTGCATGGTGTACCAGTCACTAGGATTAATTGTTTCCATGAATCTTCATTCTTCTTTTGCTCTGGATGAGGAGACACCCATCATTGCATCTAGATGGCTGCTTGCAAGCTTTTAAGATCCCAGTTGCTACTCGCCAAAGTAGGAGGTGGAACAATGTTTTGTGTAGTATGTTATGCCAATTGAGCTTGATGTCCCCTGCGATTACGGTCCAGAGCCCACCAGTTCAACTACTTGTCACACTAGGTAGCTGGCTGTGACCAAAAGTTAATACAATCTCATCCCTTGTCAGCTCTAGTATACACCTGGGAATTCTTACAGATCATACAAATACACTTATAGGACCATTGTCTGCCAACCCTATACATGGTCTTGGGTACAATCCTCGCTTCATATACATACCTAATAGTTCAGCCTGTCCACCCATCTATCCACCTGTATACCCATGTTTGCCTTCATTGACAATGCAGTACTGTACGTGCAAAAGGGTTCATCTTTATTGTATATACCTCCCATGTACCTCTCTATATCTTCCTCTTCCTCAATGCCACATGTTGATCACTCACATTTGGTACATTGCCCTCTCTTCACCCAAATCAATACTTATTTCTACCTATATAATAGTGTTCCCTCATGTCCCCTCCCACCCCTGGTAACCAACAAAGAAAATTTCCTTGCAGAGATAAACCTTTCCTTGACTTTTACAATATTGGACTAATACAATATTTGTTCTTCTATGATTGACTTATTTCACTCAGCATAATGTCCTCCAAGTTCATCCATGTTATGCAGTGTTTTGCACATTCTACGTTATTCTTTAGGGTTGCGTAGTATTCCATTGTGTGTAGGTATCATAGATTGGTTATCCATTCCTCAGTTGATGGACACCTAGGTTTCCATCTTTTGGCTATTGTAAATAGTGCTACATGAACATTGGTGTGCATATGTCTGTTCTTGTCATGGCTCTCACTTCTTTAGGATATATACCTAGTAATGGAATGGCTGGGTCAAATGGTAATTCCAAGTTTTGAAGGAATCGCCATACTGCTTTCCACAATGGTTGTACCATTTTAGTCCCACCAGCAGTGTATGAAAGTCCCATTCTCTCCACAACCTCGTCAGCATTTGTTATTTTCTGTCTTGTTGAACTTAGCTACTAGTGCTGGAACAAGATGGTACCTCATTGTTGTTTTGATTTGCACCTCTCTAATAGCTAATGATCATGAGCATTTCTTCATATGTTTGTTGGCTGCTTGAATATCCTCCTTGGTGAAGTGTCTATTCATGTCTTCTGCCCATTT